TCTAAAAGAAGCTATAAAGTTTGTTAATGTTTAAGGAACTTATTTTGATGGGTAAAGAAATGCCGATTGGTGTAATAAACAATATGAAAGTATCACATATTATATTAACTTACTGAAAGTTATCAAACTAATACTAATAATGTTAATAATAGAAGTAGCATGGTATGTGCAACTGATATCGGTAGATATAAGTACTATTATATCATCCATTGAAAATGGAATGTCTGATAGAAGAAGGTTAAAAAGATCAAAGAAATGAGAATGAGAACAAAGAATGATTGGTGTAGAAACTGAGGAACAGTCAAATTAGAGACAATTGATTGGCATTTTACAAATCAGATATTTATTTTATAGTGTTCAAATTTTATTATGACATTCTGTAATTTTGTATTCAAATATAATTGCTTGTACCCCACTTTTGTTCTCGTTCACTACAGTAACACTATACATTACAGTAACTAAGTTACATGTTTATTATACCTGTCAAATTATTCCACTTGATATTAACAATTAAAAAAACAATATAATAATGATGTCCTAACAAAAACAAGTTTCTTATAGCTTTATTATAATACATCTATGCCTAAACACCGATTACCACGACGTACAATGCCAACCGATGTTGGAGATGGTTAGAAGAAAGTTAGGGGCGATCAAACCAAAATGTGGCATCAGTGCTTGAAGTAACTAACTTCTAGTCTGAGCCATGTTGGTAGATGCAGACTACTTGGTTGGGGTCCACGTGACTATCGAAACCAATGGTTGGAGACTCTTGGTGACATGGCTCAGAATCGATCACAATGGCGTCGGTGTATACACTCTCTGTCTTCCCTCAAACTACGAGATTAAGATCACTCCATATCTTTCTTTCTACGAACTAATTCCTTCTTCCTGTACTATATCCTCATATGCAATCATTCTTTTATATATTGCTACCTCTGAATTAACTACTTGTATGAATCCGGTGTCCATCATGTTGTGTTAATGAGGTATGGCAACTTGGACTGATGCATATATGTGCCTGATCCTACGTTGTAGCTCACTGACTGACTGACATCTAAGCTGTAAAACATTTAGTATTTCTGATGTTGTTAAGTTGTTAGATCAATGTTTAATAAGATGAATAAAACTCCATAAACAATTGGTTTATCACTACTATTGTTTAGTACTAATCATGAAGCTGAATTGCTGTTATGGAGTGAATTGAAAATTTAAAGAAAATACATGTAGCTTATTTTAGTGTTATGAATCAACAGATCATGCTACTCCAAATCAGGTACTGATTGGCTATGAAATATATAGTATAATCAAATCGTTTTAGAGCAATTCATGAGTATAAGAATTATTTGTTAAATTCGTTTTGTATTGGTTGTTTGAATTTTTTTCGTTGACGTTTAGGACTTTAATAGATCAGTCACTTATTGACATATGTACATCCTATACAGACTATCTAGATATTGCCTTAAGTCACAAGCATTTTAAATAGAGATTGATGGTTGCTAGCTATGGAATGCAGAAGGTGTATTTCGTCCTATTTGGTACAGGTAATTTGTATGTGCCTGTATCTCAGAGTTGATGTTTACTCTGAGACTCGAGCACAGTACCGTTTACTTCAAAAGCCATAGCGTTACCACTTAGTGGAAGTGCAGATAACCTCTACCTTATGCATCGCGGTAAAGTTTAATTTATCTTGTATTGGTTGCTTGAAGCAAACGAAAATGGGTTAGAGTCCCGAAGTGTATATCATCTCTGCTGTGCAAGCACATCCAGCTGACTAGTCTTAAATAGAACGGAATGAGCGTCCTGTGTGTGAGGCACTTATCCAACGAAGACGAAGGAAGATGGTCGCGCAAAATCGTGGATTGATTGAAATTAAACGTTAACACCGTTAGACGCTGGCTCAATGATCTAAAGCTGAAGCGTTCGCGCGCAGGAACGAAGACTCTAGGTTCGGATACCGCGTGAGGGATCATGTATACTCACTGCTGAACAGTTCTATATTAGGACAAAACGGTGGTCTAGTACTTTCATGTTTTCAATGGTAGTCTAACATTGATTATTTCATGACCTTAATTAAAACTGAACAATCTCAACAGCCCTATACTGATGATTATTTTAAACATTACTTTAACATGCAATTTAAATCAGATGTTTTTCCGAACATTCTTTGGTTTGATGTTTGTTTTCACTACAAGATAATATCAGTCAGAGAATCAATCAGAATCAGCAAGCACTAAATGTGTGTTTCACACTTACATTGAAACTTCACAACCATGAGAACTTACAATCTCATACAAGATCAAATTGTGATTTCGTATTACTTATAAAATCTTAAAAGAATAAGGTTGGAATTTTATAATTTGTTTTGGAATTATAAATAATTTCAACGGCTGAGATCATGAATCAATTGAAGCTAGACCACCATGGAAAACCTGGAAGCATTGGACAGCCGTTTCACCCTATTGTCAGACTCCTCAGCAGTGCGCATCTACGACCCTGCCCCACGGGATTCGAACCTAGGACCTATCACTCTCGTGCCTGGTGCTTAACCAACTAGACCACTGAACCGGCATCCGACGGTGTTAATGTCTAACTTCAACTAATCCACGAAATTGAGAGACACATCCACCATTGTCATCAGTGAGTTGCTACCTCACAACAGACCCGGTTGAACTTCACTGACCACTGCTTCTCACTAGAACTCCAGAATATACCTCTTGAAGCCAGTCACTAGTGAGCATATGTTGATCAGTATCAAAAGGGGGTTTTGTGGAGATTGTAGTAATTTCAACAGTTGCGACCTCTTCTGATACTAATTATAAATAATTTAGAAATAAACATTCCTTTTTAAGGTTATTGATTGATGACTATGATATTAAGAAGACCTTACTAACTACAATTGTTCATAATGGACTAAGGGAGAAGTATAGTTATTGTAAACATTATTGTATATGTAAGTTACAGTTGTTAAAATCGATGGATATTAAGTAAAGAAAACATATTGTTTTGCACTGAATCATAAATTAAGCAAAGGCAAGAAAATGGTGTGTTTAGACATGTTTACTAAATGGTTGAAATAAAGTCAATTATGGTGATTTTGATTATTCTTTCAGATGTCAGTAGGTGTTCAATTCTTTTTGTTGTCTTTTTATTGAAGATAAGACTGTCAGATTAGAGAATACAGTTTTCTTGAATGTCAGTGGTTTACTTGAAAAAAATTTGTAATTAGATAAATGAACAAAACTATATGATAATATTGGTCATGAAGCATAAAGTATGAACTCGGAGTGAACGCCCATCTTAATGAATATGGAGTCAAATTTATATTTGTTTGCAATTGATGTTTTTTGGCTTACTATATAAGGACTCATGAGATTTTAAGATTCTATACACATTTTTTGCATTCTTTTGAAATTTATTTGGATCAGGTGAATTCTGAACTGAACCGTAAATTAAACTTGTAAATTACTACTTAATTTAGGTTGTAGAGTGAGTCATTTTGTCCTGGACTTTTGGATTTATTTTTAGAGTAGATAACTATTTCTGTTTAAACTGTCGTAAAATTTGAAAACTTAGTTACTTACTTACACCTGATGTGGTGTGTGCTACTTATATCGATATAAGTAGTATATGACGTTAGTTTGGAACAAAATGTCTGGCAGCAGATAGACAAGAGGATTGAACAGTAAAGAATGGAAACAAAATTTAGTTTGTATGAAAATGCAAGAAGAATGAAGTCTGAGTCATTTTGCAAATTAAGCATTTACTATATGATTCTCAGATTTTATTGAGATGCTCTGTTATTTTGTGTACAAATACTTTCGATTGTCCCCACTGTTGTTCTTGTTCGCTACATTGTTACCCCTCGTGGAGAAGCATAGGCTGCCCACCAGCATTCTCAACCGTAATATAACATGGGCAATCTGTTCGTATAGTTCCCAGCTGCTATCCAGTTTTCGATGCGTTGTATCCTTTGGCCTTCCTATTTTGCGTTTCCCTTCAGCTTTCCAAGTTAGCGCTCGTTTTCTCATTAAATACTTTTGATTTTCTTTACCATTTTCGGAAGTATATTAGGTTTAGAATATGATATAACTTACTGAGAAATTGTATTGGTCTTGGTAACTGGTTTATCATAACTCATGTCATATTAGATCTGTAAATAGCATTATACGATTAATAGCTTTCATTTTCATGAAGGTCAGTAAACTGAGATAATGAGAGATAATGTCTTCTATTTTCTTAACAGTAACAGTTAAAGGGGGTACGTTTTCTAGAAGCAATCATCCATTAAACGTTTTAACTCTAATAGTTGATAGTAATTTATGTTATTTTGTATTAAGATATAAACTTGTTCTAGAACTTCTCTGAATCTATATCTATATAGTGAACCCTAGATCGATAGTGATATGATATATCATTGTTTATAATGAAACAATAGTCATTTGAACGAGGACCACCCATAACTAAGCAACAACACTGTTACATAACTATCATAAAAAATAAGCAAAGATGGATAATGGCCAGTAGTGGGATCCAGGACGTGCGTTTCACACTATTCGGGACTCGTCGGCTGGATGTACCAGAATCTCAGAGTTGATGTACACTCTGTGAATCGAACCCATTATCGTTCGCTTCAAACACCATCGAATTATCCACTTAGCACAGTATACACAGATGCTAATAAGAGACTGATCAGTTGCATTCCTAAACATCATTTGAAAGATTCAAGTAAAATAATATCAAGTGAATTATCATGTTGAAAATTGCTTCAAAGTTCCATATACATGGTTAACATATTGTTCATTATAGAAAACATTCATTTTCATTTATCTTTTCTCTATTATATTATTCTTTACCAAAAAGAAAAAGCAACATTAGTTGTACTACATTTTCTTTTTGTAGAATAATTTAATTGACAGTCATTTCAAAGCTTTTTATAAAGAAAGAAAGAAGAGAAGAGAACAAAAACTGCCATATGAATACAGATTTAGAAGAGTTAGAACATTAATAATATAATAATAGTATGATATGAATATCATTTGTATTGTATAGATAGGTATGTTGAATGTCTATGTCATATGATTTGCGTGTGAATTAAACATTATACAATGAACATTTAATTAGTGTTTTGTTTTGTTTAGACAGGTGATCATCAACAGTGAAATAATTTAATGTTATTCTTTTATAATTTATGTAACAAGTGTCTATACTACTTAAATGAATTTATATTTTAATATTTATACATAAGTAGTAGGATAGAATCATTATTCTATTTTTTTGATTATACAAGTATTATGAAGAACATTGCAATGACTAGTCAGGTATAAATAACTGGCTGAAAGTGTTTTTAATATGATGTATATATATATATATATATATATATATATATATATATATATATATATATCAGTCAGTGAACTACAACATAGGATCAGGCACATATATGCATCGGTCCAAGTTGCCATACCTCATTAACACAACAAGATGAACACTGGATTCGTAAAAGTAGTTAATTCAGAGGTGGTAATATATAAACGATAGATTGCATATAAGGATATAGTACAGGAAGAAGGAATTAGTTCGTAGAAAGAAAGATATGGAGTGATCTTAATCTCGTAGTTTGAGGGAAGACAGAGAGTGTATACACCGACGCCATTGTGATAGATTCTGAGCCATGTCACCAAGAGTCTCCAACAATTGGTTTCGATAGTCACGTGGACCCCAACCAAGTAGTCTGCATCTACCAACATGGCTCAGACTAGAAGTTAGTTACTTCAAGCACTGATGCCACATTTTGGTTTGGCCGCCCCTAACTTTGTTCCAACTATCTTTAACACCGGTTGGCATTGTACGTCGTGGTAATCGGTGTTCGGGCATACGTAACACGTGGCCCAACCATCTCAGTCGATGACTATTGACAACCTCTAACAGCACTCAAGACCACTGTTTATATATATATATATATATATATATATATATATATATATATATATATATATTAGGGTAATACTGATTGAATAATTGGTATATCAGTCATACAGGAGATCAACGAAACTCTAGTTAAGATTTATGATTGTGTTTCTAACTGTAACCATTCCATTAATGTATGTTGATTAATTTGTTTACAAGAAAATCATTAAAAATATTTACCTTTAACTGTAATTTGAAAAACAAACCAAATAACGAAAGAACTTTTAATAAATAACTTATGTTTGATTATTCATTAAGAAGTCAACAATTTAAAGAATCCATTGTGACAAATACCCTGTGACTGTTACATAGAAGATAGATGGATTTATATATTCTTATATTTATTTTGTAGTGAATGGATTGTAGTATATTCATATTTACGGAATTATCATTTAATCAAATCATTAGCATTGTATGGTTAATTATATTTCATTAGCTACTTACTTTAATCGGAGAGGGGTTTTGTGGATATTATGGTAATTGAATAATTGGTATATCAGTCATACAGGAGATCAACGAAACTCTAGTTAAGATTTATGATTGTGTTTCTAACTGTAACCATTCCATTAATGTATGTTGATTAATTTGTTTACAAGAAAATCATTAAAAATATTTACCTTTAACTGTAATTTGAAAAACAAACCAAATAACGAAAGAACTTTTAATAAATAACTTATGTTTGATTATTCATTAAGAAGTCAACAATTTAAAGAATCCATTGTGACAAATACCCTGTGACTGTTACATAGAAGATAGATGGATTTATATATTCTTATATTTATTTTGTAGTGAATGGATTGTAGTATATTCATATTTACGGAATTATCATTTAATCAAATCATTAGCATTGTATGGTTAATTATATTTCATTAGCTACTTACTTTAATCGGAGAGGGGTTTTGTGGATATTATGGTAATTTAATAGTTGAATTCATAAATCGATTGAAGCTAGACCACTATTGAAAACCTGGAGGCATTGAGACTGTTCAGTAGTGGGCATCCCAGATCCCGCCTAGCGCATGAACGCTTAACCTCTAGACCACTGAACCGGCATCCAACGGTGTTAATGTCTAACTTCAACCAGTACCTCCAGCTTATTCATGGTGGTCTAACTTCAAGTGTTTCATGAATTCAACTATTGAATTACTTTAAATTCAAGTACTTTTACTAATTAATATTTTTTTCTAAATAACTTGACATTATATTTTCATTATAGTTTTAGTGAATATTGTATAAACTACGGGATAATTATGATACACTATAATACCATAGCAGTGATTGTAATAGTTAGGATTTTTAATAATTTAATTTTCTTAAAATAAAACAAATCTACGGATACTGGATTTAAATAAAAAAAAGCAAAATCCAGTTTGATTTTTGATTGAGATCATGAACCGATTGATGTTAGACCACCATTGAAAACCTGGAAGCACTTGACGGTACAGTATAATGTAAGATGGTCGCGCAATTTTTCGGATTGGTTGAGCTTAGACACTGAAATCATTGGATGGCGGCTCAGTGATCAAGTAGGTTAGGCGTTCGCGCGCGAGACTAAAGGCCCTGGGTTTGAATCCCGTACGCGGGATCGTAGATGCGCACTGATGAGGAGTCCCACAATAGGACGAAACGGCCGTCCAGTGCTTCCGGGTTTTCAATGGTGGTCTAACATCAATCAGTTCATGATCTCATTCTATAACTTACCAATCTCCACAACCCCTAAAACTGATCTTTTTTGGTTGTTTGAATTTTTCCGTTGACGTTTAAGATATCAGTAAATCAGTCATTTATTGAAATACGTACATCTTATACAGACTATTTAGATATTGCCTTAAGTAGAGATGGATGATAGCTAGCAATGAAATGCACGACGTGTATTTCGTCCTATTTGGTACGGGTAATTTGGATGTACCTGTATTTGAGAGTTGATGTTTACTCTAAGACTCAATAAAAGTATTGTTCACTTCAAATACCATCTCTCTTTGAAAAAATAAACTGCCTCAGTAAAATTGACACAATCTTCATTGAATACTGAATTGGTAATAATTAGTATATTCGAAAAGAATATGTCGTAAATGAATAAAATTTTATTGATTTTTAAAAAAAAAATTAAAAAAATAATTATATTTATTTATTTAATAAAAACATACAAACAAACATACAAATAAATAAATAAACAAACATAGAAACAAACAGATAAGTAGTATCGTTATGTACTAATGTACTTTAAAAAGAAGTTTAATGTTATGTAAATTAATTTTTTATTGAATGATTGATCTATGAACTTTTTGTTAACATAAATAATATTCAAATATGTTGTTGTCGTGTTGTTGTTGTTGTTTTCTTCAATGAAGAAAGGTCATCTAAAAAATTTAAAAAAATTATTTTTTTTTTACTTTTGCATTGACAACAGATGTTATCAAATTGATTGTATAAAAATAAACATAAATTTTTTAGAATTTTTGTAGTTTTTTTTCTGTAGTTTTGTTCTTCTTCAATGAACCTTATATGATAAATTGACTGGAAATTGAAGAACTGAATTTATTCAATCGATGATTTGATATTTTAATGAAATGAGTTTTTCTTGTGTGGATATTATAGTAATTTTATTAGTTGAGATCATGAGTCAATTGTAGCTAGACCAAAATGGAAAATCGGGATGTACTGGACGGTTGTTTCGTTCTGTTGTAGGACTCTCTAACAGGGTGTGTTGTGAGATAGTAACTCATTGAAGACAATGGTGGATATGTCGCTCAGTTTGGTGGATTGGTTGAAGTTAGACCGTTGTATGTTGACTCAGCACTCACTCACGAGAATGATAGATCCTGTGTTTAAATCTCGTGGGGTGGGATCGTGCATGAGCACTGCTGAGGAGTTCCATAATAGGACGAAACGATTGTGCCGTGCTTTCAGGTTTTCCATGATGGTCTAGCTTCGATTGACTCATGACCTCAAATGTTAAAATTGTCAGTTGGTGAGAAACAATATGAAATTTTCACTTACATAAACCAGATTTTTAGGACTGCAGTTGATCAATTTCTTATTGGCATATGTACATCCTGTGCGTTTGAAGCAAAAGGTACTGAGTTCGTTTCTCGGAATGAACAGCAACTCCGGGATATAGGTAAATCCAGCTGACGAGTCTCAAATAGGACAAAACTCACATCATAGATTCCACTGCTAGCCACCATTCATCTTTGTTTATAAACGATGATAATATTTTATAGTTGAATCATTTTCAGTGAATTACAATAAACATTTTGTTTTTATGGAAACTATAATTAACGTCATGAACATAATTGTTTTTATCACATTTATTAATCCTGTGTAAAATATTGAGTAGATTGATGAAAAAGCATTAGATACAAAATAACAATAATAAAAAAAGTAAGGAGTTACGGTCTAGTAGTTATATGACTGACATGTGATAACATAATTATTAGATGATTATAAAGTATAGTAGATCATTCACTGAACATAATACAACAATCACCATTAACTCATTCTGTTGGTCGATATATATATATATATATATATATATATATATATATATATATATATATATATATATATATATATATATATATATATATATATATATATATATATATGAAATAGTGTCTAGAAGCGATTTAGGCCAGTCTGAGAACATTAAAACACTGGAAAACGTATGATATTTCACATATTGATCATAAATGAGCAAGTGAAATTTAAGTTCAATTTGTTGGTACTCAAAATAAATCTCGAAAATTATAGGAGATTTTTCAACTTTGATCAATTAATGTTATATAAGAAATGTTCTTTAATGAGTTAGATGGATAGTATTAAAAATTTTTTAATGTTTATCAATTTAAAGATCATAGCTTATAACAAATGGAGCTATAATGATTTAGTTCCATAATTTGTTTCCATATTGAAAATTCTGACTTTGGTATTGATTGACATTTATATTGAGTTCCAGATGTTCTTCAATTGTATATATACTACTCTTGATTTGCCAATCCAGGAAGACACATATTATTCATTAAACTAAACAAATAACGCTAATCTATTTTATTTTATATATTTGTTTAAATTCATGAACATTAA